ACTGCGTACTTTAAGTTGTTGAGGGTTAAACAACTAGTTGACTCCAACAATAAAACATTAGCTTAAACTTTCATGTAGCACCACCAGTTAATGGGTTGCTTAACCATGAATTTCATGCATGGGAATCAGGTTGTTATTTGCAACTTTAGAGTTCCAGAATGAAATGGAGGAGGAAAGACTTGGAGATATTGAGATTAGGCTCTGCTGGTCATGTAATGATTACAGTGTTGGATTGGTGTTGCTTTAATATTGTTGGGAACCAGAAAGAGAAAAATTTGTATGCTCCATTTTGGACATATGCTATCCAACAACTATTTAGGCATGTTTTTCACAGTGGGTGACACACACACTGGGCTGTTTCACCAATGGATCACAGAGGAAAAACTATAAGGTTTTTATATTAGTCAAACTAGAGTTAATTTTGTGTATTGTATTAGATTTTTAAAAGTAATTTGACAACAAATTGGATATGTCAGCAGATTTTTCCTGGCACTTCTAAACTTGAACATGCAAGCCAGCAAGCAGGTTTTCCCCCACACCATCCCCTACTCACCTTATATTTGCCTACTAGTGACTATGATGAAGGAATCTGGAGATGTTGAAAATTTAGGGTAACTAAATTAACTGCTGTAAGTATCATCCATTGACTCTGATTAGTAGGACTGCTTACTAAATGTATGCTTATGATAATGAAAAACACAGATGAAATTAATTTTCAAGTATGACCCAGAGATCAGAAACTGAAATACAGTTTCTGGAATATATAAGTAGAATTCCTTCCCTTTGGAGACTTAGTTTGATGGAATTTGATCTAGCCAAGGTCTCTTGATTCTTCTCTAATCCATTTAATAATAATGTAACCTATTAAATAAGTCAGTAGAATAAGTAACAGTTAGGAGAAAATGCTTTAATGGGTGGAATCTTCTAATTTAAACAGTCTTTTCATTTTTCTTTCTTTTTTGGCATTTGGATAAAGGAATAGGAGCTGGTGGACTTGCACTGGGAATAAAGATTTAAATTCTGTTTGGGTATCAATTTATGATACTGTCAGGCTGTTCTTAGCACTTTGGCTCAGGAGAGGAAATGGACTTTAGTCCAACCTTAAAGACCTGAGATTTAGACAAGTCAGCAGTTCCTTAATGTTTGCTCTTGGAAAGCCTGGGATCCTCACAAGGGAGTTTTAACTGTTTGTCAAATTAGTAAAACAACCTTTCCCTCTCCTCCTCTAAAGATGGCAAAAAGTGTTTTGTTTCTGGAAGGAGAAAAATCTGTAACTATATGCATTGGAAGTATATGAATCCCTCTACTCTTTGAGACACAAACCTATATGGGAGGAAGATTTACAGAGCACTGTAGGAGGAAATGATAACACACAAGTGGCATTTAAAAAAAATAAACACAACTACTTATATGTGAGATCACCACATGTGCACTATTTCAGTAAGAATATATTTCCTGCATCCATTCAATGGTCTGCAGAAAATAGTTAGAAAAAAATTCTGTCATTTATATTTCATTCTGCAATAACATGAGGTAACTTTTTAAAGCAGAAAGAACATGTAACACTAGTAGAAAGCTTATCTTGGAAATGTCAGTTTCCATTTGGGAATAATTTTCATTCCCATCTTCCCCTGAATGTCAAAATTCCAGAACTTTTCTGATTAAAAAGCTGGTGAAGTTGCTTTTTTGAGTTCACAGATTTTCTTTCTCGAGAAACTAGGGCATAAATCTGAGGATGCCTGGAGGTTACAATCAATCATGAAGCAGAGATTTATCATACTTGTACATCATGTATTGTGACTAGGAAGAGAGATGTTTCCATGGATGATTTTTAGTTTCAAAAGTATTCAGGCATGAGGTGTTCAAAAGAAATATGCCTTGTCTAAAGGAAGAATCAAACATTACAAAAAATGGAAACTTGCCAAATGTCTTTATATGTGAAAGAACTCCACTATTGACAGCTAATTTGGCTCTTTAATAAAAAAATCTGGAGTAAAGGTTGAGAATTGCTGCTCATCTTCTTAATCCTTACTATTCATTTTGTCATTTTGGTAATGACTCATGGGAGCATAAGACCCAGTTCAGAATACTTGCCCTTCACCTGCATGAAGTCACAATAAAATAAGCCATGTTTTGTTGCTAGTAAGATATAGTAGGAGCTAAGAGACTGAGGTCTGAGAGATACAGACTGAACAGTAAGCTGTATATCACTTCTAAGCACTAATACATTCTGTGAAGGGGTATGGAGAATAATACATATGTCAGAAAAATACGTATGAACTAATGTGGGAACAGCTGCCTATTTTGTTTTGCTACAGATGTGTGCATCAGCAGGGTTCCTTTTCACATATTCCCCCCTGGAAAATTATCAGACTCAGTTTAGAAATTTTGGATAATAATATTTCAAATTCCTTTCTTTCAGAACACTTAGAATGCAGAAAGGTATTTTCATCAGAACTTTTAATCAGTGACAAAATGAGTTATGTCCATCTGTGGAACCTTGGAGGGCAGGACAGAGAACCTAGGAGGACCAAATTCAGCCTATGACTGTCTTTATCCCTGGCAGAAATTCTCTTAAGGTATCAGGCAGCCCTACCTAAAGATGTTAGGAATTGAACCTGGAACCTTCCGCAGGTAAAGTACATGCTCTACCACTGAATTGTGGTCTTTCCCCTCTTTTTTCAAAAATACATACACAAATTTGTACATATCCATAGCTATGGATACATAGTATTTATGTTTTTACTGTTATTTATATTTCATATTGCATTTTATTGTATTTTAGCAACTGTTGCCACTGCTTAGAGAGCTTGGGTGGTACAGAAACAAAAGAAAACAAACAATCATGAATGCATGTATATAAAAATATAACTTACTAGCAAGTATACATGGGCTTCAGCAAAAGCAGACTAGGTATCTAAATAAAGAAGATGGCATCTATCTACATGCCAGATATTAATATTCTAACATCTTCATTGCATTATAGGAGGTTAGTGTTTATCCTTCCATCTTTGTAGTATCAGTCTTCTAGCTGTAAGGACTCAGAAAATTCATTTACGCTGACTGTTAATTTTAATGAAGCAGGTAAACCATTAAAATGTACATCTGCAAATATTAATGACTGTTCCAATATAGAATGTATCGGTATTTAAAATCTTCCCCAAAATAAGCAACTAGTGGACATTACCGTAACATGTTTACAATAAACATTAGCTGAATTCCTGTGCCAGTAATTAGTCAAATGAGACAATCCCTTATTAAAGAGACACTGCAGTGTCCAATAGACACAAAACAATTTTCGGTGGCATATGCAGTCTACAATCTGAATTTATTCACCAATAACAAGTATTTCTGGGTATGAGTTATAGGTTACCTTGCCTGACCAGCCTCATTAATTGTTTGCAAATAATAATTGTTTAAGTAAACAAGTGAAGCCTAACAAATGCAGTGGTTGCAAGTATTCCCATTAGCCATAGCTGGCATATTATATTTTGCACTAAGGACAAGAATGGCACCCTTGGCACTCAACAGTTGATCCAAAATACAAAACACTTTATTTGCCCAGGGCCATCATAAAAACCTTTTCTTACAAATCTCTAGATTTGGATTATCTCATCCATTTAGCCTAAATCAATTTAGGCTGAGAATGGATCAAAGTATAATTAATCCTACTCATTACTGTTAGAGATTAAGATTTTGGTTTATGAAGTTTAGCTGTTGCCGTCTATTTTTGCAAACTCTGGAAACTCTGAATAAATGCAAACTCTGGAATAAATGCACAGGACATATTTACTATCCTCACAGTTTAAGAGGTTAAAATAAAATAGGTATAAAAATGAATTTTTGCTTTCACTGACATGACTATAGACTTAAGGTATTTGAGTCTTGTGTTATTTGTATACAACCTATGCAAAAAAAAAAAAAAAGGCATTAGCAGGAGTGGGACATTAGTAATTGGAGGCATTAGCAGGAGTGGGGCAACTGCAGCCCACAGGAGTTTTGGTGTAGAACAGCCATCATCTCTCACCATTGGGTATGTTGCAAAGACCGCTTGGCTGTAGGCCAGACACCTTAATTTGAATTAAATGGGGTAGGAAATGCAAAATTTCCCAGCATCATGTGAGAAAACGCTTTAAGATGTGTGGTCTTAATCTAAGAATTTCACAGATATTAACAAGATGTCTTCCTATAATTGTTAGTTCACTGCTGAAGCGCTAATCTGCGGCAGAAACTGCGGGGAGGAGAGAAGCCTACTAGAGAAGGGTCATGAACGAATTTTTGCCCTTTACAAGACCGACTCAGCAAGGAGCTAAACAGGCGCAGGGACAGTATCGTCAAGAGGTCCAGCAAACGGAAATTCCTCCGCCCCTCTTTAGCAGGACATCGCACCTGCTTTCTCCAAGTTTCGTTCCACCTTTATTAAGCATGACTGCTTTTCAAGCTTCGGCCGTGCAACTTAAGTTTCTTGCAAATATACGTGCTCTGTAAGACCAGAAGATGCAAGGAGGGGAACCGAACTATCACAACCTGCTTGTCAAAATAACGAACGCTGCTGCATCTTAAAGACTAACACACTTGCTATGCAATCTCATGCGTGTTTGTTTAGTTTAGGGGTAAGATCTATTAAGTTCGATGGGCCTTACTCTCAGGTAAGTGAGCAGAGGATACAACTTTATTCTTGTATAAGCTTTTCGCGGGCTATGGGTGACTTCTGAAGAAATTGGTGGCCCTCTTTTAAAACTAAATCCTCTCTATTCTGCCTGCTCAGCAACCCCCCACCCCCCGCAATCTTCGGTCCAAGTCTACCTACGCAGCACCAGCTGCTTGCATGCGAATTAACACGCACCGCGAGTGCCCGAACTGTCCGCTCCTCCCCTTCTGCACCTTGCCCCTCCCCTTTCGGGGCGCCTCACTTTCGCGAGCCTTGTCCTACCTACGCTCTCTCAAACCTTCCGTTGGATGGTGTCACCTTCAAAAGTGTCCGACGGAGCGAAGGAAGCAGCGGCGGTGGCTTTTGACTGGGGCACCGGCTGTGGGTGAACCCGGAACTGCCTGCGTAGTCATTAGGGTCTCGGTCCTTTTGGCCCTCAGCGACGCCTTCTCGGAGGAGGATGGCGGGCAGGACAGCTGTTGACAGGGTGCCTCGTGGGCAGTGAGCCCGTGCAAGAAGAGCCTCCCTCGGCGTTGTAGGCGAGAGGAGCCCAATGACGAAGCGAGCCTCGCGGTAGGGAAGGGGAGCCTCAAGGGGAAAGGGGGTGAGGAGAAACTGTGGCTAGTAATGGGAGAAAAAAAATATGAACTGATTAAACTGAGCGTCGCCCATAGCCGTGCGCGAGGAAAACAAGCACTTGGCGTCTGGCGGGGCTTGGAAGAGATTTGTGTGGGGGTGAAAGGCGTGGCGAGAAGGACGGAGGGCACAGCTAGCCAAGGGGGTGCTGTGACCAGAGGGGTCTGAGTTGCCGCTCTCCTGTACTTGGTTGTGCGCACTCCTGGGTGGGATCTCCGTGGAGGAATTAACGTGTGTGACGATTCCCGTGGCGAGTCCACGTGGAAAGTAGAGGTGACAGTAAACTTGGTTGGTTGACGCTTCACGTTCCGGATTGTTGTGTTTTTAAACGTTATCTTGTTGACTTGGCGGAAGGTTTTGCTATTAGGTTAAAAGATTATTGGGGGCTTAGCACGCGCGCATTGTTGTGTCAGTGGGAGATTGCAAACGTATGGCTAAGACTGGGAAGGAAGTATTATGCTTGGTAAAAAAGTACAAATATCTTAGAATGTTTTGCTCTAGATAAGTTCTTTTCCAGTATGTGTTATCTAAGGGGAGGGTTTTGAGTTGGGTGCATTGTTTCAATGTTTGGATATCTGTACTGATATATATGTATATTTATACACACACACACACACATGCACAGATATTTTGAGATCAGGTTTCAGAGTTTATGTATAGTTTTGGTATCCCTGGCTAACAGCATCTGCTGCAAAGCAATTCACTGAGTGTACCTTAAGTTGGTGTGTACTACAGAACTCTGCAGTAATGTTAGGTCACTGAGTTTAATGGAACCTATTCCATTGCAGCTTACTCCTTTACAGTAAGCTTGCTTACACTAAGACACTCTTAGTTCAATAGAGTGATTGGTGGTGAAGACTGTTTTTTGTAGCTGATTAACTTGGAATAAACCCCACTGAACTCAATGAAATTTCTCAGTAAACATAAGCTATTTATTCATTTGAAAAAATTTACAAACTATTTACATCTATAGACTTCAAAACAGTGCACAGAATAATTTAAACATGAAATTGTAAAACATATACATATCTATAAGAATAAAATACATGGGGCAGTACATAACAGCTTAATTCTGCTAACACAGATTACTCTGTGTTATGTAGTGGGAGCTGTAATACAATAGTAATAGTTTGAGCAATAGGTTTTTCAAAGAATCCTATCACTCAAGCCAGCTCTGTTGGCATTGTGTTAGAGCTCCCTTACTCAACCACAACATAATTTTGCATTATCATAGTATAATTGTATACTGTCCGTGGCAAGCTAAACCACAACACAAAAACGTGCAGTGTGTGTGTATCTCATAAATACATGATAATAAAAAGGCTGTTAGACTTTTGAGTAAGCATACATTGGGTCAGGCTCTAAGAGCTGTTTAAATCCCAAGCACTTTAATGAACATGCTTTGTAGGCAGTTAATAGTAGTTGTGTTCTAAACTGTATATTGTATGATCTAAAAAAAATACTCTTTTTTAAAAGGTTCTGTCAACAAAGACACAATGCTGGAATCATACGTGACTCCTATTCTAATGAGCTATGTGGATCGCTACATTAAGAACTTGAAGCCCTCTGATCTACAGCTATCTCTCTGGGGAGGAGATGTAGTTCTTAGCAAACTTGAACTAAAACTTGATGTACTTGAGCAGGTAGGATTCCATTGCGGTTTTTACTTTGCTTTTACAAAATCAAACTATTGAAATGAATGTGCAATTATTAAAACAGGTCAATCTAAATTCATATTACTGTTGACTGAGTAATGTTTATCACATCTATCATACCTGAGGCTACTGAGCTCGGAATAAATGTAGGATGCAGGCAATGGGTTGCTGTGCTGGCATAGATTTTTATATTGAATCATGAAAATACATTATATCTCTATTGAGGCTCACAAAACTCGGTTCCCAGTGCTATCCCAAGGTCTTCTATAGCTTGGTCTCAGGCCACAAGGGTACTACAGTCTGCATTGGAAGAACTTATTTTCTATAAGCCTTAATCAACTTTTTATTCATATCTGGTATAAGCTGTGGAAAACACAAGATTTTCCAGAAACTTAAATGTTCATCTGAACCACATGATCTTAAGTGGATATTAGGGAGGGGCTGTAGCTGATTGGTAGACAGCATGCTTTGCATATAGAAGGTTCCAAGTTCAATTCCTGAGAGCATCTTCAATTAGGATAGGAAAAGCTTATGCCTGGAGAGCTACTTCTGATTAGTGTCAATGATACTGGGTTAGATGGACCAGTAGTTGGACATGGAATAGAGTATCTTTCTGTGTTTCTAAGGAGGCTTCACAGCATGTGGTTCTTTCCCCACACCCCCATGCTAATAGATGAGATACGGTATTTCCAGAGTTTAAAAAGTGAACAGAGTTGTATTCTTGCATTTGTCTAAGGAAGTGAGCTATCTGTGTTATAAGAAATTACTACAGGCTTCCATGTCATTTTTAAGATTCTGAGAGGCCTAGCAATAGGAAGTTCATTTGTGCCCCCACTTCTTTCTCACTGTGCTTTGTGTCAATGTCATCTTTCTCTCTTTTAGAATCCCTCCTGAAATTGTTTGTTGACAGGAGATAGCATATGGCAGAGATGCCCTGCCTTATTGTGGAAGCTGCTTATGCCTATGGAGACCTTGGTAGGCAGAAAGCTACAGGTGAAAGGCTCTCTATAACTTGAGATGGGACTGATCCAGGCCTATTAGGCCCACCAGCCTCTTTATTTCTTTCTGTGTGAGGGGAACTTAAAATGTAAAGTTCTTCCAGGCTAAATAATCCAATGAAACAGCTACCAACTCCTTTTCTTCAAGTAACTGAGCCAGCAGAGCTTGGAATATGAAAGGAGATCTTTTACTGCACTCCTCCTTGGCCCTATTCATGATTAGTCTGTTTCTGATTTTTTGGCCTACTAGCTGCCATTTTGCAAATCCCTACTCTTAGCAATTTTGTGTCCTTTCAGACCTCTAGTCTTTCCCAATCTATTGTTTCCCTCTGTTTCTTTGCACTGTTCCTTTAAGAAGGCCTACTTATCTCTTCCAACTATTCTCTGGAATTCTGCATTCAATTGGGTGTATCTTTCTCTTTCTCCCTTGCCTTTCGCTTACCTTCTTTCCTCAGTTATTTGTAAAGCTTCCTCAGACAGTCATTTTACTTTCTTGTATGTCTTTTTCTTTGGGATGGTTTTAGTTGTTACCTCTTGTACAATGTTGTGAACCTCTGTCCATAGTTCTTCAGGCACTCTGTCTATCAGATCTAATTCCTTAAATCTATTTGTCACATCTGCTGTGTATTCATCAGGAATATGATTTAGGTCATACCTAAGTGGCCTAGTGTTTTTCCCTACTTTCTTCAGTTTAAGCCTGAATTTTGCAATAAGAAGCTTATGATCTGAGCCACAGTCAGCTCCTGGTCTTGTTTTACTGACTGTGTAGAGCTTCTCCATCTTTGGCTGCAGAGCACATAGTCAATCAGAGTACAGTGTTGACCGTCTGGTGATGTCCATGTGTAGAGTCATCTCTTGGGTTGTTGGAAAAGAGTGTTTGCTGTGACCATCGTATTCTCTTGACAAAATTCTGCTAGCCTGTGCCCTGCTTCATTTCGTACTCCAAGGCCAAACTTGCCTGTTATTCCAGTTATATTTTGACTTCCCACTTTAGCATTCCAATCCCTCATGATGATAAGAACATCATTTTTTGGTGTTAGTTCTAGAAGGTGTTATAGGTCTCTTTGGCATTGGTGGTTGGGGCATAGACTTGAACAACTGTGATGTTGAATGGTTTGCCTTGGATTTGAAATGAGATCATTCTGTCATTTTGAAGATTGTACCTCAGTACTGCTTTTCCTACTCTTTTATTGACTATGAAGGCTACTCCATTTCTTCTGAGAGATTCTTGCCCGCAGTAGTATACATGATGGTCATATGAAATAAATTCACCCATTCCTGTCCATTTTAGTTTGCTGATTCCCAAGATGTCGATGTTCAGTCTTGTCATCTCGTGTTTGACCACGTCCAGCTTACCTTGATTCATAGATCTTACATTCTAGGTTCCTATGCAGTATAGTTTTTTACAGCATCAAACTTTCCTTTCATCACCAGATAAATCCGCAACTGACTTGTCCCTTTGGCTTTGACACTGTTTTCATGGCAATGATACTAGAGTGAGTTGCCATTTTCTTCTCCAATGGATTAGCTTTTGTCAGAGCTCTCTGCTATGACCTGTCCGTGTTGGTTGCCCCTGCACGGCATAGCTCATAGCTTCATTGTGCTACACAAGCCCCTTCACCTTGGCAAAGCAGTGAAGGGGAGTTTGAGCTTACTTGTCATTATTGGATATTAATTCTGCACAGAACAAATTAGCATACTTTGTAAAATTGGAGTATATTTTAAGATTTTGGACTAGCTTCTCATATCAGTTTTTTTTCTTTAACAAATATAAATGTTTGTATACATCGGGCAAAATGGTTTCTTCATTCTGAACTTCAGAATAAAACTTAGTGTTTTCCAGTATACAAGTGTTTGTAATTTCCTTGATTTGCATTTCAGCAGTGTATTCAGTGGAATACATCTGAAACAAAAGTATTTATTTCTACATTCAGTTAAAATGATCCAAATCATTCAGACTTCATACAGACATAGCCTATATATTATTCAACTTTGATGGAAAGTACTTCTAGCTGTTGTTAGTACCATTTGTTTTTCAAAATATTGTTAAAGTTGAGCCAGCTGCTTATTAACCTTACAGCTGTATCTTGTGGCATTGACTTACTTTATACAATGTTACTCTTACACCTTATCAACAAAAATGAGAACATAACAAAATGGACGTTTGACTTATTGTTTATTTCTACTACAGCAGCTTTAGGTCTACCTGAGTTGTCAGTTCTCTCATTCTGATTTGCATTCAGCATTTTGAACATATCTCTTTCATATTTGTATGTGTTGTGTGTACAGAGAGAGACTGATATCTGTCATTATGACAGTGGAGGGAGGGAGTGGAGGGACATTAAGAACACAACTAATTTTTATTCATATTTGTATTTTTTTCACTGTCATTTCCTCTTGAAGTATTGGAGAATTCAGGGTCAGGACTGGAGTTTTCTTCTATTTCATCCTTTCAGATGTTTCACATAACATTGCTATTCATAATAGTGGTACAGTGGTGCCTCGGCTCACGAACGCCTTGGTTCACAACCAAATCGGGTCATGAACAAAAAATTCATGAAAATTTTGACTTGGGTCGCGAACTCTGCATTGGGTGGCAACCAAGATCGCGGCCATCTCCTCACCCCCCCCCCCCCGAGTGGGGAGATGGCCACGATTGCAGTTGTGTTCGTGCAGGGAAGACATAGAGGAGCTGATGACAGAAGAACTTGTTGAACTCCAGAGTGAGCAGCAGAAGGCACTTGCTGAGGAGGATTCCACTGAGGAAGACAGGGAGGAGGTTAGCAGTGATGTGATACAATCCATTATGAAAAAATGGAATGAGTGCCAGGATTTCTTTGCGAAGCACCACCCCAACATAACTGTAACAAACAGTGTTGAATCTGATGAACGATAATGTGGTCTCATTTCTGGAGGGTTATGCAGTGCAGGAAAAAACAAGTGATTTTAGACAGATTTTTCACCAAAATTGACCCTGCAGCTAAGAGACAAAGAAGAGAGGAAACAGCTGAAAGAGATCTCCCCAATGTCCTTATGGAGGGGGACTCTCCCTCAAAACAATAACCTTCCCCCCACCTTAGTTAGTGTTCTCAACTGTACTGTACAGCACTTTGTTACTTTGTTGTTCTTTGTCACTTTGTTTCAATTTTTTCTGATTTAAAAAAATAGTTACAGAACAGATTAACTTAATTTACATTGAATCTTATGGGGAAATTTGACTTGGGTCACAACCGATTTGGGTCTCAACCAGAGTCATGGAACGAATTAAGTTCGTGAGCCAAGGTAGTTCTATGAACCCTATATATCTTAAATGCTGGTTCTGATCCAGAGAAAGAGTATTGAGCCTGATCTTGAGAAATGATATTAATCTTCATATGTGGCAGGTTCCCAGTGTTATTGCTGAACCATAGTGCTCCCTTGTTATTGTAGAATAGTGCAAGGAATTTGTGTGTGGTGATGAGGGTTAACCACTTTGTATACTTTTTTTAAACCTATGCTGCTTCTGATTTCCATCCTCTTCTTCCTGCTCCCAGAAAATAACTGTCATTGCTAGTTACAGTTCCCAGAGTTGCTTCCAGAGAGACACTATATCACAACACTGTTTAACACAGAGCAGCATTATGAAAGCGATGTATGTGGCTCCATCATTTTTGTTTCCATATAAGAACCAGTTCTTATTTGTAAAGCAGGACAGTACTTTGACTATTCATATTTTGTGGTGATTATGGATGATAGTGATAGCAACTGTTAAGCACTTACATGTCTGTTTCTTGTAATCTGTTAAATCATAAAGTTTATAGGATCCAGATGTTGAATGGTAGAATTAAGTATATGGGAAATGATGTTAAATGTACCAATAACTGTGTTGGAAAACTTAACAGAATGCAAGGCAAATTGCATTTTGATAACTGTAGTATATGTTTCAGCAGTTCAGTTTTACTTGAATTGGGTTTTAATAGCCAACTTGGTAATTTGATATAAACTTTTGTTTTCTAGGAGCTGAAATTACCATTTACATTTTTAAGTGGACATATTCATGAATTACGCATTCATGTACCATGGACAAAGCTTGGTTCGGAGCCAGTTGTGATTACAATCAATACAATGGAGTGCATTTTGAAACTAAAGGATGGACTTCAGGTAAAGGGAAAAAACATCACACTTTTTCTTGTATGCAAATTTGGGTTGATTGCCTAGCTTTTAAAGCATTAGTTGCCTTATTGAAAACCAGTATTACAGTTGTTCTGAAAGTTCTTTTAGTTCTGTTGTGAAATTGTGGTTTGAAGCTATTCTTTCCATTACAGTATTTTCCTTGCAAATGAATTTCTTGCTGACATAATTTTATTGCCCAGGTAACAAATCTTAAGAACAGTATGATATTCCAAATACTTTCAGTTGTCTGTCAGCTAAAAAGATGGATCTTTTTACTAAAGTTGAGAATGATCAATGTTGCAAGATAAGGAAGTCATGTAAGAGCAAACTCGTACTAATAATATTATAGTGCTGTGTTCTTTCTGTACTAGTTCTTTTAATGGCTTTTAAGTTAATTTTCCTTCTATTGTTTTTGTCTTGTAACTAATCTTCAAACACCAGTTCCTTTTTCCTGTAATGGTATCTCTGAGTGAAAGCTATATTTTCCCAAAGACTAGATGTTTTGGGTGGACTGGATTGTTTGGAGCATTATTATTATCTTGCCCTCATCTCATCCCTGAGACGCTTGCTAGTGAATTTTGGCCGAGATGTGGGACTTACCCAAAAGTCACTGTTTGAATGCAAGGCAGATGTCTGGCCAGGGCGACTTATTTTATATTGTTAATTTGTTTTATGTATTATATTTTATGTTGTGAGCCGCCCCGAGGCTTCGACGAATGGGGTGGCATAGAAATGTTTTGAATGAATGAATGAATGAATGAATGAATGAATGAATGTGGGTTCTATTCCCCTAGCATCAAGTCATTCCATATTTGGCACACCAACATCTATTTTGTAAAAGGCAACGCAGTGGGGTTTGGAGTAAAATGACTTGCCTAACATCATAAATTGAGTGCAAACTTGACGCGAGATCTTAATCCTAATTGTGGCTGTTCCTGGCCAAACGCTTGCTGCAATAGCATGCTCTGAAGTATTTTCCTTCTCTTCTCCCATCCCTCTTAGCCAGACATTACGATAGTTGCAAATACTACAGAGACAACTTTTATGCAATCTCTCATTTAAAGTAACATGTGTAGAACTTCCTTAATCTACAGTTATGGAACTCATTTTCATAAGATGTAGTATTTGGTCACATGATTTGATGACTTTCAAAGAGATATTTTCAAACTTATGGAAAATAGTGTTATCAGCAATACTAGCTATGGCAGTTATAATAAATATTTCAGCTGGGAGACTTGAAGCTGTTTAACCAGGATAAACAAGGAAGGGCGATTACTTTCAAACTCAGTGAGGTTCTGGCATTTTAATTCTCTTGGTAACCTTGGGATGAAACTGTCTCAGGTGTTATCATCTTAAGTTCTAAATAAAACCCCTTTTCAGATTAAGATTTTGTTAAGTACTTTCCATATTTACTCATGCTCGCAAAAGCTGGAAAATTTAGCTATTAAGGGCCATCTCTAAGAAACATGCAATTTAGGCAGTATGACTATATTATGGTATATTATGCTGTGGCTAGTTCCAGCTTCACTACTACATTGAAGCTGGATGGCCATCAGTCCTAAGTTTCAGATTTGACCATTCATTGGAATGGGCACATAATAACTATTCAACTGAACCTGTCATTTGACTAAAGCTCCCCTTCAATGTTACAAGTACCCAGCTGGTGGTGTATACATTTTACTGAGTAAAATATGTGCTTGTATAGTGTCAGAATCCTGGAATCTCAATTTGAGAAGAGGGAATAAAACTCGGGTTCGTGGGAAAGACCAAGCATCCAGACCATCTGAGGCTTTATTGTTCTTCGTCGTGGCCTCTGTGCATCACACATATGGGGTGCTGCTCCTGTGTAGTGCCTTTGGCCGGAAGATTACAAGCTAACAGTTTTTGGCGGGAAAAGCTCCGCTCCCCCTCCCCCATGGCCTATAAAGAGCTGAGCGTCCACCATTTTGTTCAGTGTTTGTGACCGCCGTTCGCTGTGCCTCGTGCCGCTTTCGCCATCGCTCTGACCATTGCTCGTATAGCCTCTTTCTTCTCAATTGTTCTCCCAGTTGTTATAGCCCCTGTATTTTCTTCTTGTTCCTGTTAGTTCCTCTACTTCGTATAATTCTTGTAAGTTTCTCTGTCGTTCTACCTTTCTTTCGATCTATCAAAAAAAAATGAGGCTTTATTGTTTTACCTAGGTTCCCCGCGGGTTCATACTCACGATAATGCATTACTGGACAGGCAGAGTGAACTCTGCTGCCAACTTCAACACAACTAGAGAGTTTTTATACACTCCCAGTCACATACAGGTACAGGGCAAATGATGACAGAATGCAGAGATTACAATAAGATTCTGAGGTCATCACATACAGAACAGATAAAGAAATGTCAGTCAATCACACAGTAACAATGAGATTACAATATTTCTAATTGCCCGTATTGACACTTTAGTTCAGTTGCTTGAACCCATCTCCAGGTCTGCTTAGACATGTAAATTCAAGCTACTGAAACTATGCATGAACTCAAGACTCTTATCTACTCTAGACATTCTGAATTTGCCAGAGCACATGGAGCCTCTGGGCTATCAAAAGATACTTCCTTGTAAACTGAATTCCAACAGTGACTATTTACAATGTATATTTGGACTAAAATGGCCTGTCTACTGTAGCTTACAGCTAAAGGTGAGAGAAAGGATTGGGGGAATGCCGTTTTAAACAGTGACAGCTTGGTTTAGAGAAGGAAGACAGGATTTGATCCCACAATGCAAAGGCACACAGAAGTAATGCTTTTCAGACAGGATTTATTCAAATTTTCCCAACAATAGTAGTCATGCCCCTTATAAAGGCATTCTGTATATGTTTTGAAATTAATAGTGATAATGCAAAATATGTTAGTGATGCTGCTACTTGCAAATGAGCACAAAGATTTTCATTCCTTTTAACAAGAGCTATAATAGCAACTGGGAAGGCTAATCATATACCAGTAGTTTAAATGCCTCAGAGTCTACTTAATGAAGGAAAGATAACCTATAACATGAAGAAAGTCCAGGGACAGGCTGATCGCAAAAACAGTGGACACTGCTTGATAACTGCATAAAACTGTTGATGCTGAAATGTTAGTCAGCTGAATCTCCTTTTGGAGTCCTGTTTTATGTTAAACATTTTTTAGTAAAATTGCTATAATTTTAACATGGTACTTTCCTACATGAACTGCCTAAAACAAGGCACAGCACAGAAACAGCAGTGCAGAAATAATGTAGATAAATAAATCAGTTGCAATAAAACAACATTACAAAATCAACCCATAGAATTAACTTCAATAATAGTAACATCGACACTATCAATTCATATTTCAGTAATACAAAATTTAAAATAACCAGTTACTGTTTCCTAAAAAATGCCAAATGTAGGAAATAGCAGCCAAGTTTCTTATAGTCTATAGCAGCTGATCTTTCCCAAACCTAAAACCTAAATATTCTTGAAATATTTAGGATTCCAGCAGAGAGAAAGGGGTGATCTACCCCTGCTATTTTGATGTTTCTGCTACTGCTATTGCAGGAATTACTGCATGTTATTTTGCATACTTTTCCTGCTATCTATGTAGTACTTGTGTCTTTCTCAAATGCATCTACATATAAAAAGCAAAAATCCTAACTATTTCATGCTGAAGTGAAGTGACTAACAATGATATAGGCATTTTCAGTACTCAACAGGTAATCTAAAAAGTTTTTCAAAGTATACTTAAACACACCATATCCCCATATTTGTCAGATTTCTTGCAGGGGGTGTTTCCACAATCATGGGGCAGTGTCAGAAAATTATTTCAGCTGTTGCCACTGTTTTTATACCAGTAGAAACTTGCAATAAATTCTCACTACTAGATATTGATGTATAGGATACCACTCTATGCAGAACTGGCACATTTCCATTCACTGGAGGCTAGGGAGACCAGGAGTTCAGCCACAGCCTCACTTAATTTTCAGGCAGGGCCCTCAAGTCAGAGAGGTTGCAGCAGCAATTGGGTAAACCTTCCTAGACCTATATAAGAAGGCAGACTTGCAAAAGTGTCAGCTGTCTAAGTAAGAGCTGTCCAAGTAGAGGAACCTCAGAGGTAAAGATTCAGGATACAAACAAGTTCAGCAATAACTAAAAATAAATCCACCACCTTCTCCCAGTAAAAATTCAGAAAACCCCCAACCTACATTTTCCAGGTAAAGAAGCCCAATAATACCAGTTTTTTTCTATTTATTTATATCCTACCTTTTTCCTACAAAGGGCTCAAGGCAGCTTACATCATTCTCCTCCTCCATCTTATCCCCACAACAACAACCCTGTGAGGTAGGTTGGGCTGAGAGTCTGTGACTGGCCCAAAGTCACCCAGTTGGCTCCATGGCTGAGCAGGGACTAGAACCCAGGTGGTCTGAGTTCCAGTCCCATGCTCTTAACCACTACACCACACTGGCTAGTTGTGAAGGTAGAAAGCCAGCTGGAGTATTGGGGCTATCCAGTGTATTTCACTGAGTGCCACATGTGTGATTTTCTGCCTGCTAGACAGAAGTTGTGGACATGTGCTAGGTTTCTTGATTTTTAAGCATTGTTAAGCTGCTGACTTTTAAGCAACAAATCTGCTTCTTTAAAGTCAGTCACTCACCTGGAGAAGCAGAGAGGTTGACTGAGCAGACCTTTGGTAGCGAATAGCAGTGTCCCAATTCCAAGGTGACAGCTCCTCTGTTGTCATGCTGTAGAGATAACAAGGAAGGAGGGCATCGTTCCAAGGAAGAGGGAAACAATCACTTAGAAGGGATTCGTTCCTTGGAAAATGAGGAATTATCCTCTTGCTTTGGGGTAGTAGGAGGTTTTGTCATTAGAACTATAAATAGCTGGGTGTGTGATGGGCATGTAGACAGCATTGTAAATTGCCTGCTTGGTGTAAAGTTTGTGAATGTCACATGGTATCTCATGGAATAAAATGGTAAGGTTGAAAAGGTTCCATAAGGCTGTTGAGTC